TCTAGCAGGAGGGAAAACGAAATCAAGCCTTTTACTGAGCTTCCACGTCTTGCAAGTTTCCCCCCCTTTCTCCGCGCCTTCCAAGTCAGTTTCCGGTCAGTGTCATCCCCGCCTGTGCCTCGGGGACTGTCCGGCAGACTGGGAAGATCCTGCCCTCCTCCACGCGGCCACTTTTTTGGGAGCAAAAGCGCTGCTTGTCGGGCAGCCCAGCCCCCCAGGGAAGGAGGCTCGCATGCTCACTTCGAGCCCGCGCCGTTGGCTCAGGCAGACCCGACTGCAAGTCCACCTCGCTCCGGCTGGCGTTTCACCGCCGCCTTTAGGGGAAGCAGGATCGGGCCCCCGCTGAGTACTTCCAGCTCGCTGGCAGGCGGGTGATCGCTTTTGTTAACGCACATCCAGTCCAAGTGCTCGCGGCTATTGCAAAACTCTTCCATTTATTCTTAAGTTGTTTTTTTTAAAAGCACAAACTTTTTTTACACTGGTGCTCCAGGCTTTTCTGATCATCTGATTTTTTAACGATAGTGTTTGTCTTTCTACTAAAAGGTAAGGTGAGGCTAAAATGACCTGAACTGACTCTCGGTGATGCCCGCGGCGAGTGAGGCTGGGAAGAGGCGGCGGTACCTCGCTCCCGCGGCCCCACTCCCCTGGAAGCCAGCACTCGGACGGCTGCCGCACAGCAGCTGCTCACTTGCCCTCCCGTACCGTACTAGGAGGTGGCACAAACCCAAATGAAAATCTAAGCCGTTGTACAAGGCAAAAGGTCAGTGCAAGCAGCAGTCATCCCGCAAAAGAGGACTCTGCCGCTGGCTTCTGGGTTCATTGCATAGGTCCTTAGTTTTACTAGTGTCATTATTAAACAGATCAGACGGAGAAGGGGCAGCAGAAAGAGCCCCGCTGGTTCCACGGAAAAATTTGCGCGAAGTCGGAGAGGAGACGAAATAGGAAGGCAGTCCCAGGGCAAGTCACAGGAGAGAAAGTGATCGAAACGGGAGTTTTCACCGCGTGTCACAGCACAACCACAACGCCGAGATGCCCCGGTTTCCGGGGCGGAGGCTCTCGGTTGCTCATAGCTGTCAAATGTTTTGACTAGAGGGGAACGAAAAGGGGAGAAAAACAGTATTTCCGACTAGGACTAAGCATGATATCCATTGTATTCCTAATTCTTCAGTACTTGGCTGTTTAGTTCCCCTGGCACTTGTGGTTCAAGGCTCCAACAAAACTATTTCCCCCAAAAATGCCCCTCCGCTGGAGTGCTTTGGCAGAAACTCCTATTGCAGAAAAGGGGAAAGGAGTTTAAATAGGGGCGAGGGTCCTGAGCAAAACCAAAAGAGTTTATTCCCCCCTCCCCGCCCCCCGCCCCGGGATTATCGATGTTGGCTGGTTATAATCTTCATTCAATTCATTGAATGAAGCGCTTTTAAAAAACATCCGCTAATTTACTTGAGCAAATCATACGGTCAAGCTCGTTTTTGTTTCTGGTGGGGGTGGAGGGGGTTCAGTGACCACATTTGTACCAAAAATAACGATTTTGTTCCTGGAGAGATTCTGGTTCTTTGTTCTTACCTTCTTGGAACCTTTATTTTAAGTCATGTCCCGACTTAAAACCTTTAAATCATGTATCCTGACATTGTCACAGCAATTTTACACGAATGAAATTACACCCCGTCATTGTTACAAAGGTTTCAGCATTCCCATGTACACTTTGCTTAACAAAAGAAATCTCATCGAGAGCATGGTTTAGTCTCAACTTTTCAGAGATCCGATTTTATGCACATAAATCACGCAATCCTGGTCACACATGGCATCCCATGGCATCTGAGGAGAAAAAAATAATAATAGAGCTGGAATAATACAGCTGTGATCAGAGCAGAAGCCTCCAGACACGATCTTCTCGCCTAGGGGAGGCGAGGGGAACTGGGACCGGCTGAATATTGCGGCTGCCCGAGGGGCACTGGCGTGGAGATCCGTCTACTCCCCTGCAGCGTGCCCCAAACCCGCTCTCCCAAGCCCGTTTAGGGTCCTGGGAGCTTTTTCCAGCTGCCCTTGGGCAAGCCCCGCGCAGTCCTCGACCCTTTTCGAGGCTTTTTGAAGCGAGGTGTAGGTGCTGGGCTTCATTTCCCAGAGTCCCCCCCAGGTCCCCGCATCGTGGAGCCCGAAGGGGTTGAATGAACAGAGGAAACCCCCGGAAAACTCCAGCCATCTGTACGAAAATCTCAGGAAACAGATTTCGATCTTGCACGACTACCTATTTCGTTTCAGAGGGAGCCACTGGTGTGTCTGGTTATGTTGACATGGTCCCAAGGCAAACACTTCCAGCCACTTCACACCCTGTTCCTCTTTACATAATCTGAGCCTCTTCCTTGAACAACCAGTGCTCGCAAAACCCTCTCGGCTATGCTAGACATCTGGGGGTTAGGAAAAAAGAGAGGTCTGAAGTTGTGGTTTCCGTGCTAGCGACAGGGATTCCCCCCCTACAAGAACACGCAGGCGATTCAATTGAGTAGTTTGTCGATGAACAAACCTGATACCCAACCAAGTCTGGGGGTGTAAGAGTGGCAACCCCCACCCCAGTCCGGCTACAGTCGGACACTGATAATATCAAACGCGGAATGGGAAACACCGCTTGGCCACGTGCCATGTCACTGCAGAAATCGATCTCCCTCCACCCCCGAAATCACAAGTGCCATTTTCTCTTCTGGTTTCAGCCGTACGAAAATAGGTGGGGGCTTTCGATCGTTATACAGAAATCTCGGTCGTTTCAGCAAAAGAAGTGAGACTGAAATGTAACCATTCAGGAAACCCAGAGCCACTTAAAACTACTGGCACAGAGCGCCGACTCCAAGCAACATCGTGCTTCTCAGCTTGCTTAAAAAAAATAAAAGTCAGAATAATCCTAACAGAAGCGGAGGGGGTTTGATCTCTGTGACCCAGTTGGAAAGGGACATCAAGGACAGACAGGGACACATGTAGTTGTCTTTTGACAGAAGAAATCCGAGAGTTTGCGAGAAGCCCCAAAGGAAGGGGCACAGGGGTCGGCCCTTCCCCTCGGGCGGCAGTGCCAACGGCGTTTTTAAAACTAACCAACCAACCAACCTGGGGCAGGAATCACAACAGTTTCTTTCCAAAGGACGAAGTTGGCGAAGCCATTCCAGCCCAACTTTTTCGGCATTTTGAATCGAAATGGACGCAGAGTCTGCCCTACTTCCTTGGGACGCCCTCCCGGCAGGGGCTGAGCGTTGCCCCGTACGGATTAGTTGGATCGAACCTGTGCCAACTGTCCCTCGTTTCCTCGGGGCTCGGCTCTGCGGTCCAGCCGCGAGGCAGACCCGCAAAACACCCTTACCTCGGAGAAGGTGCAGACCGCTGCAAACCGCTGCACAGTTCGCCCGAAACAGCATCAAACAAAGGGAACAGGACACAGTGTTGGGTAGCGAGAGTTTTTGGTTATGAACTTGACACAGCCTCCTTACTTGTTAAGTAGGGAAACGGCATGGAGTAACCTAACAGCTCTTACTTGCAAGATACCTGTTATCTGAGCATCAGACAAATTGAAAATGAAGGAACAGCCTTTTAATGACCTCTTCGAAACTTGGGAGGAAATTTGTAATTTGCTGAACTCGGCTTAACTAAAACACCAGCTGATAATGCGGCACTGCACTGAGCGAGGTGCTCCGGGTGGGCGGATTTGTACTGAACCCTGCAAGTACAAAGGCAATTTGAACAAGAAAGCAGGTGGGAAGCGGGCTCCATCTAACTCTGGTTTATTTGTGAACAGGGGAGTAGCAACTATCGCATGTAGTGCTCGGAGCAAACGGTCGCAAAGACGGCTCCACCCTAAAAGTCCGTAGTTCAGTCAGAATTGGAGGGGGGACAAGTTTGCGAGTGACTCTGCTATGGCTGCTCATTGCTGACTCAGAAAAGCCATGTAGGTCACAACGAGTTTCCTAAAGTTACCTACAGTTGCAATAATTCAGCTTTTCTTTGGCGGCTACCACAGGGCTGCAGCAGCAGCTCTAAACGCCGGGGCTTTGTGCTGCAGGTCCAGCCCAGTTTCAGAAATGACACTGCGGCTAAACAGAGTTTTTGGAGTCTGCATGTCAGCTTTTCTTTTCTTTCTTTCTACTCACTCGTTCAGTCTTCTTGCTTTTCTCCTCCTTTGCCCATGTCCATCGTAACGATGCATTGTCCGAAAAGCGTATTTGAACGCTTTGCACCAATGCATCGCAGTCGTTTAATCTCCTGGGTTTTCAAGGGAAAAAGTAAGTGAAAGGTCTAGCTTCCGTCCAGCCCGTTGTGAACTCTCCCCCGGAAAGCTTATTCATTCGTGTTCTTGGGTTTTCTTCTTTAGCAGCAACAGGGAAGGTTTTGTGAGACGAATCAATCATATCTGCTAGCCAGAAAGCCGGACAGAGATCCACCTTTGGAAGCCGCTTTCACTTGAGCTCCCGCAACCTGTTGAGTGACACTGAGTGTTGTCTGTGCTCGGACTGGCTTGTTTTCGTTATTTTACTTTTTTAAACCATAACGCAGCAATACTACTACTACTAATAATAATAATAACACCAACAATGGGTCCTAGTGCCAATGAAAAGTTCAGCGAGGGTGAGCAAATAAGCAGATGCTGCTGAAAGAGCGGAGCTGGTGGGGGAAGGAGATGGGTCTCGAAGCGCAAAGGGGATAAGGCGCAGCAAGCAAAGGCAGCAGCCTCGGCGCACAGTGAAAGGGGGTGCTGTGCCCTCCTCTGGAGCTCCTGTTACCTGAGAGCCGCAGTGGATTCCCTCGGCCGCTCCGCGCCCGGCGGAGGCTGTGCCTGGCAAGGGGCAGATTTCCAAGGGAATCGGGACATTTTTTGTCTTAAGGAAAGAATACTAGGAAAGAAACCCGTTGCAAGTAACAGCAGCACCGGGGAAGAACTCAGCCGCCCACCTAGTGCATGACAGTGAGGGGAAAACACTTCCCCGCTGCACCCCCTGCACAGCTTTATTTTTGCTCAGCGCCCACCGCCGCTCCGCACCTCTGTGTGCTGAGAACAAACCCGGCAGCGAGCTCGGTCTCGCTTCTCGCCTTCGAGGCTGCTCTCGCTGCAAGCTGATCTCGAAGCGGCCTTGGTCCAAGCAAAGGAGTCCTCCTCTCTCGGAGCGGACAGTCCTGCAAGAGGCTCGCGGCGGCTCCGCAGAGGTAATCCGGAGGCAGCGGCAGTCCCTCGCAAACCCCAGGCGGTAGCTGAGGCAGGTTGAGACGAGTCCGGTGCCCGGCCTCCCTCGGCACAGCTCACACCCGCGGGCAAGCGGGGCCACGAGGGCGCGGCGCCTCCTGGACGGGCGATCGCGAGCCTAGAAACTCGCCAGAGCCGCCTCCGCTTCGAGCCTGCGAACCACGTCGATCCGGCGGTAGACGAGGCCGTGTCCCCGGAGAGCTGGAGCGTGGCAAGCCCTGGTGAGCCGGTGCGGAGCAAAGAGGCCGGGCTGGCTCCGGGAGCGGCGTACGCGGCCGGCCCTTGGGACCAGGCTTCGGCAGCCAGGCGCGAGCAGGCCCTCGGCTTGGGCTTGCAGGGCTCTTTGTTTACACGCAGTTCAGAGCCCCTGGCCTTAGGCCAGAAAAGTGCAGTTTCATTTCTTGGATGGCGGAGAAGCCTTAGAACTTCACGACTAGCTTTTCCTGCAAGGGCTACACGTTTTTTCGGGGTAAGCACATTCCCATTAACCCTTCCATCACCTCTCCTCACCCCTAGAAGCCAGCAAGGGAAGGGACCTGCCCCAGAGTCCCTGTGCACCTGCGGAGAAGAGAAAGAGCCTTGGGTCTGCCCCGTAGCAAAGCTGCTCCCTCCCTCCTCCCCCCCGGCCTTCCTCTGTTAGAGACTTTGCAAGGGCAGGTCTGTACCGAGCTCGCTCTGTACCGCCTCCGAGCTCGGCACATATGTGCATTCGCAGATCTGAGCAGGCAAGGCGATGGAGAGGAGCACTGCACTGCAGCGGGCATTGCCACGGGCACTTGTGACCGCCCCCGGGGGGGGCTCCCCGGCAGAGCCACTTCCCCTGCGGGTGGAGCGCGCAGTCTGGAGGCGAGCCCCGGCCCCTGCGCGCGGGAGAGCGGCTCCTCTCTGCCGCCGCCGTGCATGGCAAGGGAGCGCTCTGCAGGCACTGGGCAGGCTGGTTCTCCCCGGACACGTGATTGAATCCGATCTCCGGCGCTCCTCAATGGGGTGGCGGAGGAGGAGGAGGAGGTTGCCGTGTTGTGTACTTAAGGTCGCGTGTGTGTGCTGGGCTGCTCGCTCGCTCGCTGCCTCGGAGGAGTAAGGGCCACTGCTCCGCCTTCTCCTTTTCGCAATGTTGACGCAATCTATAAATAGTGGAACAAAAGGACCAACTTCCTCGCAGCTTTGCTGAAACTGCACAAAAAAAGGCAACAGGGGGCTTGTTATTTGTATCGATTTTTTCCGCTTCGAAAGACGAATCTGGGGCCGATCTCGCAAAGGGAAGCTTTTTTTTTCCTGTGGTCTCTCCTACCGCTGGCAGCGTCCTGCAAGTGGCTCTTTTGCCTTCCACTGCGAAGGGGGGTTTATTTTTTTTCCTCCTCTGCTGACAGTAAGTGCCATTCAGATTATTTCTTTTTTATCTGGGGAAGGGAGGCTTCTACCTGCTCCGTTGCGAAGGCAGGCCCCCCCCGAGGAAATAAAGAGCCGCTGGGATTGTCAAAGAGCTTTGCCAGCGGGGTCCGTGGCACGGCGCTGGAGGGGCATGTGAGTGTGTACCGGGCCGCGCGCGGGGGCAGCGGGGCTGAGCCGGGGCTCGATCGCCACACGCCGAAATGGGCTGGAGTATCAAGCAGAGGTGCTGCCGCTTGCGGAACAAAAGCTGACGCACTCTCCAATATTCAACGGGCTTTTGTTAGAGGGGAAGTGCCTGTGCGCTGGGGGAGCTGCCTGCAGCAAGTTGCTGTGCTGGGAAGGCTTTAGGAGACTTGTTTACCGCCAGGGCTCGGCGGTGTGTTTACTGCACACACGCACCGGATTGGACTCTACCCAATCTCCTGCCAGAGCTGGAGACAGAGAAGCCTCCACCTCGGCATAATCGCTCCGGATTAACAGGCGGGGGATGGGGTGGGACGGGGGACGGGAGGGGCGGACGATTGAGACTGCCCTCCCCCAAGCTGCGCCGTGCGACAGGGGCAGGGAATGCGGGGCTGATATTATGCCCCCTTCCAGTAACCGGGAGATCGGTGCATGCAAAAGCAGTCACTGACCAGAGAGAGAATTACATCATCCCCCTCTCCAATGATGTTACCTTTCGAGCGCAACCACGGTAAGGGCTCATGGAGACATGACACTGCACGCACAGAGCGGGGCGGGGAGGGGAGGGAAGGGGGGGGCGGCGGACCCCAGCTGAGACCCAGGCGCACGGATCAGGAGACGGGCAGCCCCGGGCGCGCGCGCACGCGCGCGCACATACGCGCGCGCGCGCACACACACACACACACACACACACACACACACACTCTCTTTGACTGACCAAAGCTTAGTGTTTACAGTGCTCACACAAGCGTATTGTGACGTCATGTTATTGACAGCCAACCCCGCCAGCCGGCTCGGCCCGGAGCCTGACAACCGACTCTATATTAAGAAAAGAATGAAGTCACCGCCACCCTGACAACAGCGGGCGGCTCTTCCGCCGCCTCCCTCCCACCTTTCTCTCTCCCCCTGGGCTGGAGGAAGCAGCTCGGCAGCGAGACGAGGGCTCAGGCTTGCCAGGGCGCGCCAACCGCTGGCTGGGCAGGACGGTGCCCGGCGATTCCCCCTGGGCAGCACGGGGAAAGGAGCCTCTGCCCAGCCCCGCTGAGCAGGGGCCTCCTCCCATTGTGTGAACCCCCGGCCGGGAGGCAGCCGCGGTTTAGTTTGGCTGGGGAAGGGCCAGGCACCAGAGCCAGCCTAGAGCAGGAGCGAGGCAAGGGGCAGCCCGAGGCCTGGCAGGAGGCTCTGCGACTCCTGGCCCAACTGACCTCCTCCTGCACCGCTACCACCAGCTAGCTGTTTCCACTAGGGAGCCCCCAGCCCGGCTGGCCAGGGGCACAAGGCAGACGGCCGGACTCTCTGGGACGTGCCTATTCTCAAACCTGCCCTGATCTGTGAAGCGCCGGCAGCGCCCGGCGCTCTGGGGCCAGCGCTGCACAATGCCTGCTTGTTTGGTGTTGGTGCGGGTGGGGCTCGGCTTGCAGATCCCGAAGCAAACTTTTGACAGTCACACGCACCAGACTCTCTGCACTCCGAGAAATGGAGAGTTCTCCGCTGGCCCTGTATTTTTCTAACGCTGGGTTCTAAAGTACCCAGTTTCAGGTAGAGCCTGTCCTCTCTGCTTCACCTACCTCTAACAAAAACAAAACAAAACAACAAAAAAAACCCTGGCGAGCCAGGCTGCACACAGACCTGAAGAGTGATAGCTAGTCCCTTATTCACAACATGTCTGTCTCTTAGTAATGTTTGGGGAGCTGTGAAACATAAGTGCAGTGTTTCAAAAGCTCATCAAAGTGTATTAAAGCAGTTTAGCATTTAGAAACACATGCAAAATCCATCTTTCTGCTTCCAAATTTGAGAAGTTAAATGCTTGCTCCAGATTCCTTTCTACTACAACTACATTTCTAATATTTGACATGTTTAACTTGGTATTACAGAAAATGCCACGTTGGGTGGCTTACGTAATGCATGGCCATTTTACACAAATATTATATGTTCAAAATGAAATTTCACTTAGGAGATTTGTTTGATTTGCAGGCACACAATGCTTAAACTGCTCTTTCAAATATTTTATGTCCAATTAGGGACAAGCTAGCATACAAGGTACCATTCTAGCACAGATTAATTCAGTGAAATGTGCATTTGATAGTCTTTTTTACAGAAATGACAGGAACCAGAGGTGTAATGACACATTTTACTGGCCAGTCACAGTAGATCTTCAACAAATGACAAAAAAGTCAATCATTCCAAAGTTCAATTAGCAAATAAAGCAAACACTTCAAAAATAATAGAAAAAGCATACTGAAATAGTCCAAAATATAAACGTCTCATAACTTATCCTGCAGTTTTATCATTTTAACATTATAAGACTAGCAAAATATTGCAGTGTGTACCTATGACATATAAGACAATTTTTTATTTACACAATTTGTCAAAATATTAAAGTAGTACTTACCCACTGCAAAGTCAACAAATCCATATCACACTAAAAACAACAAAAAGTGTTTTACAGACTGAATGATGTTAATGGGGAAAAACAACTTTTTGAACTAATGTAGTAACCTAAAATACAAGCACTTTCCCAATGCAAAATTTAAGTAATATGGACTTCAGTTTAGTAGCACACATGGTTTTTAACTTGTTGATAGTTTTAGTTTCTTCAAAGTGTATTACTTTTTGAAGTTTGGGTGTTTCTATTTGTGCAGAAAATAGACTGCAAAGCTTTGAGCTCCCTACTGTTACAAAAGTTAAAAGGAAGCAAAGTTAAGCTGCTAAATCTGCAGTCTGGAATGAGTCAATAGTATCTCCTTTGTCCTGCTAGCTTTGTCTGTTATGTTGTATCTTTGCTCTATTTCCTTTAAAGAAAATGAGCATTTCTAGTTTTAGGGCACTACATTCTAGATATTTTTAATAAGGTCAAAGTTTTATATGCCTCATTGTTCTCAAAATCTTTTATTCCACTAGTATAAAACTGAAGTACATATGGCTTTTCAAACTATAAGAACAGTTGCCACATTCTGTCAGGGGTACTGCATTATCTCTATTAATCAAGTAAATGCATTTTTAGCATCTACACCAAACTGGGTAAATTATTGCTGTTTGCTTGGGAATGAGTCTTCTTAAGTGATCTAATGTGCATTCTTCCAAATAGTTCATAGTTGCTGATTTGGTACAAATAGATGGGAATTAGGACACAAAGGAGATGAAAACAACCCCTGCTGCTTCTCACTGAGGATTCCCTAGATGCAAGGGAGTCCCTGCAGGCAGAGATGACATAGCTTGCTTTTTTACAATGCAATCCTCACCAGCTCTGGCACAGGAGACAGAAAGTAGGTATGCTTGCACAGCACTACATTCCAGACATCTGGTCTGCTGAGGATCAATACTAGTTTGGGTGCTCTCAGCTGTATAATGAGACAAGTACAACCCCTGCCCCGATGGCTCCCAACAACTGTGGTACTTCACCGAGCTCTGGCCCAGCAGATAATCTAGGCCTAGAACAGTTCAGTCTATCTTTGTAAGTAGTGTGAATTGTGAATAGTATCAGTGTAAAATAAGATACAAAATAGTACATTTATGGAAACAAAAAGAGGGTTAATGAATTAGGTACTTAATGAATTAGGAGGACAGGTTCTTCAAACAAAGAAGCTGGCCACCACTGTCACTCAGTCTCTATTTACCTGAAATCCAGTCTGCTCTGAAACTCTGGCCTTTGGTTTGGTATTATGTTGTTCTGCAGATCTGTCATTCTCCCAAAAAAAATAAACAAATGTCAAAACCAAATAGCTTCGGTGAAGGTATTAGTGTTCACTAAATAAAATATGTGCACACTCTCTGTATTACACATGCCTATCCTTGCTCACATTTATAGTCCCATTTGTTTTAAATGTAAAAAAATACTGAAATTTAGAACTAGCCCCTCTAGGGAAAAAATAAAAGAAAGCTACACTGTACTAATCCATTGTGAGATTCAAAACTGTGTTTGCACACATATGGTATAGTGTATAATTATTAGTAACCTTTATATTGCACTTAAAATGCTCATAATTCATGATAGATCAGAAAATATTCTGTTGCTTGCTAAAAACAATGAGCCCAGTATTTAAAAGAGTTAAATGTACTTTTTTCTGACTACCCCAAGTATATAAGGATAAGTGGGGCATTCATCTGATGACTAATTTTAAATTACTGGTAACCCCCTAATCCCTTGCCTGTTTCAGACTTCCAGAATTTGTGCCAGTGGTCAACTGTGATGTTACAGCTACTATAATTCCAGTGAAAATTGTATCATTAAATGGCAGAAAAAATTATTATTTAACAGCCTGGTTTCCCCATCCCACCCCCGTTCTCTCAAATTTTCTTTGCAAACTCATGACACATAATGAAAGCCCTTGTGCATTAGCTCCAGGTTCTAGTAGGGCATATTGATAGTTGTAGCACTATAGTAGCTAAGAGTAAATCACTGCAAATTCAGAGCACCTAAAGCGGGGGAAAATGGTTTATTAAATTTAATTATGAATTGGATGCCCCTTAAGTATTATCTGGGGCAGTTGACATGTAAAACTTTTTTAAGTGCTGAATATAGCTTTAATTCTAGATATAGATACTAAATATCGTGCAAATCAATGAGATTTTGGTATTTGAAATAGGACAGAATCTCTCTAAATATTAAAACATGAATCAAATTATTTATACATGTGACTTATTTAGTGAAAGAAAATTCTAGTTTATTATGCTAGTAATACAGTGCTTGGAAAATCTGCTCTACAACTTCCCAGTTGAGAGTAAGATATTTTTTGGAGAACGTGCCTCAGGTGAAAGCATTAGTATTCAGTAAATAAGTATGTGCACACTCTCTGAATATCTGTATTTTTAATTTTTAAATAAAGTACGTTTCTATGCTTTTGATTTTGAAGATTACTATTGCTTCATATGTGGACGTTTACTGATGCTGAATTGTTTTCCCAGTTTTGCGCACAGACAATTCCTGACTCTATTGCACTCAGTAGTAGTAAAGTGAAATGAATAAGATTCTGAAAAATTGGACACTGCTTATTAACCTGTGGCCAGCTATGAAATTGCTAGAAATCATGTCAATTTAATATCTGTTGCTTTGCTTCCTGCTTCCTTCCCTGTGTTCCCTGACCAATCTTTTCCTTTGCTTACTACTTCCTGCCTGTCTGCCACTGTACTCCTTACTTCTTCCCCAATCTGTCATGTGCCACACAGATGCTGCCCATGTCACAGGATGCATCCATGTCACAGGATCTGATCTAAAGTATCCATGTAGAAATCTTTGCACACACTCTCCATTCTAGCATCTAAAAATGGCAGAATGGCAAATTTCTTGCTCATGGATTTAGTTCTCTAATTAGTATTGGACAGAAAATGTCTAGTAAAATGTTTAAGTCCTGTATTAATATTCCATAACACACTCACATGTATTGTACTATGGGCCAGATTCTACTCTGTTGGGTGCATAAGTGGACTTAGATGTCCAAGTGCAATTCTATTCTACCCTGCCTGAGTCCCTGAAAAACAGTTAATGCAAAAGATGGGACGGTCCTCTTCCTCCTTTGTTGCTTTTCTGAGACTCTGTCTTAAGGGTAAGTTGATGGTGTTTTATAAAAGCAGACACATTACTAGATTTTTAGGACTTGAACAGGGTAGAACAAAATTGCACTCTGACAACTAATAGGTAGACTAGAATCTGAGAATAAAACAAGCATCTGTCAAGGTATTAACTTTTCAATGATAACTGCTATATATATATAATTGCTTTCCATAAAGCTTTTCTACTGTATTTGTTTACGTAATGTTCTTAATACTGAGTATGTATACATGATATTACCTTTGCAGGGTACTTAATAATAGACAATGCAAAAATATGGACTTAACACAGGCTACAGAGAAGCCATTCCATTTTGGCAATTATACATATTTGTTTTTATAAAAAGTGAGTACAAACTGGGAAATTTCTAAAGGTTCATAAATGAATACTATTCATTTTTAACTTTGTAGGAAAGCACATTAATATACATGCAGAAACACTAAGGCATATTAGTTTTAATGACAAATTATATAATTATTAATAATAATTTTATTTCTACCACTCTGTTTTTTATTGAATCTTAACTTTTAATTTTCCCATTTCTTGGATGTTACATGTAGGTGAACAACTTTTGTTTATTAGAATCATTAATTTCACAAACTCTCCATTAGATGAGATTCTCTTGTTTGGCTATTACAACTATTGACTAAATATTAATATTGGAAACGTTTGGGTCCTACTTACAAACCTGTATTTACAAAAGAGGTCTCATTAAAATCAATTAAACTGTTTGCATGAGTACAGACTACCCGTGTATGTAAGGGCTTGCGGATCAGACCAATACTTCATTTAGTAATACATTTTAACTGACAATTCTGAGAAGTTTATTTTTAAATTACTGAATTTATAATATAATCCTTTTTTCAGTTTGGACTTTACCCCATCTTGGTTTTATAATTCTAATCTGTAGGAAAAATACAGCTAAAGAGCTCAAAAGAAAGAGATAAAAAATGACTGCCGTTATTTGAGTTCTGTAACTCCTACAGATTATTTTTCCTTACAAGCATTACAGCAATGACTCAAATGTCAACAAGAGAATATGGAAATGAGGGGAAAGCTCATTATAACACTGTAGGTATATATAGTTCCTGTTAATACAGACTAGATGTAACTTGGCCTTATATGTCTGCAAATGAAATAAGGGTGTGTGAAGAGCAGAGCAAAAGGATTCATTTTTATAGGAACAGGTACAATAACTATAACTGTGCACTCAGCAGTCTGAATTGCCCTTGAAACAAGAAAGGAGAAAAGGGACTGGACTATATTCCCTATTGCTCAACACACTAAAAAAAAAGGGGTATGCCACTGGTTCTCACAGTTTTTTGACTCCAAGCACCCACTTGAAAGACTCAAAGCACCCCATGGAAAATCCCAGCTCTTTGCTTTCACTTCCTTTTTTTTTTACTACAGAGAAATAATAGAGCAATTCTTCTGTTGCAAACACCTCAGAAAGACTAAAGAAGGTCAGAATGGTTTGATACTATGGATTCCTTTTTAAAATCATGTGCCATGTCACTCTTTTGGAGAATCACTGGTGTATGCTGTACTTTAAAATCTGATGTGATATGCACGCTCCTGTGCACTGAGGATCTTAAAAGACAATAAAATATGCAGTACTTTCCTTATAAGTCTGTGACATTTTTAGGGACATACGCAGATACAAATGTTAATCAACTTACCTTAGACAGAGTTTGGATGCTTCATGCTTATGTGGGTCATAAAAAGCATTAAATTATGATAACTCGGCACTATAGAAAAAGGTGACCTGCAAATATACAAAAATCAAGTAGTTTTAGTATATTTTGCTAAATATCCTTAAATAAACAGTGTTAATTAACAAATTAGGAATGTAATCATTAACCTTTAACCCCCATTGACTGGGATCCTTTAAAAACTTAATTACTGATCCAACTGACATTTCGAATTCTCTCCGTGATATTACATCAATGTCTAGATGGGGGAATGGTGAGATAGATGGAAGCTGAGACCTGATCCACCTTCCAGAGTTTCATGTGTGGCTTTTGGAAAAAATACTAAAATGCTTTGTATCTTGGTTTCCAAAAATATAAAATGAGGATAATTAACATTTTTGAGGAAAAAATTTTAAAAGTTTGTGAGACGTCAGCTAGTATAGTGATTAGGGTAACAGAAAGTCTAAGATATCCCAAGACTTCTATAATTAGGAGCATTTGTTTTCCTGGTCATTTGTCCTTTTATAACATAAAATTCATGAGTTAACCACATTCACTGAATGTCCCAAAGCTAGTTCAGCTGGGAAGTTCTAGAGTCAAATCTCTCTTTGTGAAAGGGGTTCTCCAGCAAGAAGTTTTGAAAGTTACAGTGAGTGAGAGCCTCACCTGTGCTCCTCTGTCAGCTAAAAGGGCCAGTTCAGTTTAAAGAAGCTCTAAAAAACCTCATATCTGGCCAAGTTAAGACTGTCTTAGTGAAGGAACTGAGGAAAACTGTGATAAAGAACTGAAGTTGGGAGAGTCCCTGAGGATGAGAGAGAGACGCAACACATATCGCTGCAGAGATTCTGGGGAACACTGTGGACCAGCCCAACACTCCAAGAAAAATAGCATAATTTAGGTTCCCAGAGCTGTCTAAATTTTGGCAAGGGCTATGAAGCAGGCCACATCTGAGAAGGTGCAAAGATGGCTTAAATTCACCTTAGCCCCAGTTCTACCTGGACCGTGAGTTTTCAGTTGAGTGTCTTAGAGGAACAGCACAGACTCTCACTCAAGGTGTCTAACAGAACTTTGAGAGATCTATGGATGAAAAGTGCTATATTAAAATTGCATATATGATGATTCTCATCATCATCACCCCTTCACCACCCAGATTACTGAGAAGTACATAAGTGCTAATGAAGCTCTAATTTACACTGAAACATCACTAAATGTAAAATGGGATCACCTTCCTCAGTATTTTAGAGGTACTCACCAATGTCACTTCTGAAGTATCCATGGACTTACACTAGAACTAATTTCCAATTTATGCAGTTTCATAGTTTCATAGTAGTTAGGGGTCAGAAGGAACCTAAATAAACCACCCAGTCTGCCCCCCCACCACTGGCTGGAGCACACGCTGGGATCACACGACCCCAGACAGGTATTCATCCAACCTCTTTTTGAATTTACCCAAGGTAGGAGCGAGGACCACTTCCCTAGGAAGTTGGTTCCAGATCCTAGCCACCCTATCGTGAAATAGTGCCTCCTAATCTCTAACCTGAACCTATTCTCCAGCAGGTTCTGGCCATTGTTCCTCGTCACCCCAGGTGCTGCTGGGGAGAATAGGGCTCTTCCTATTTGCTGCTGATCTCCCCTAAGGAGTTGTAGGCAGCCACCAAATCCCACCTCAGCCTCTGTTTGCTGAGGCTGAACAGGTTCAGGTCCCTCAGCCTCTCCTCATAGGGCCTGCCCTGTTGCCCTCCAACCAAGCGGGTGGCCCTCCTCTGAACCCTCTCAAGGCAGGCCACATCCTTCTTAAAGTGCGGTGCCCAGACTGGACGCAATACTCCAGTTGAGGCCGGACCAATGTCGCGTAGAGGGGGAGTATACCCTCAGTGCTGTTGAGATACCCTCATTATGAGATTCCAACATAACACAAACTACTGGTGTCATGCTTATTAGGACTGTGCGAAGCTTCAGTCCCTGATTTGATTAGGCAAAGATTCAGCCCAATTCAGTGGCCGAATCTCCGAATCCAAATTTAATCAGAAGACCCTTTAATCTCTCTGAATCAATTCGAAACCCTCTGAACCGATTTGGACAGATTCGGCAATTTGGACGTAGATACATCTTTAAATGTTTTTTCTACATACCTCTAGGTAGCAGGGGCTCTGAATGTTGTAGTGCTGGGGCAGATGCAGCGTCCCACAGAAGCACAGGGGGCTCCCCAGCATGCGTGGCAGCAGACCCGGAAGTGGACCAGAAACACTTCCGGTCCACTTCCTGGTCCACCAGAGAGCGCGCAGGGGGAGACCTCCCCCCGTGCCCCCCCAGCTCAGTGACTGGTGCCTCCTGGGTCGGGGGGGTACCCAGGGCCCCCCTGCGGCCAATCACCAGGCCAGGGAAGCAGACCTGGAACTGGACCAGAAATATTTCTGGTCCACTTCCAGGTTCACTGCTGAGCACACTGGAGAGCCCCCCTGTGGTCCTGTGGGACAATCCATGCGCCCTAGCACCACAGCGATCAAAAGCCACGCTGCTACCTCAAGGTATGTAAGAAAAACTTTTAAAGCTGTGCCTGTGTCCGAATCACTGATTCGCCGAATCAGCACCAAATCGTCAGATTCTGATTTGGCCAAATCGAATCAGGGACAGTGATCCAAATCAGCGGATTGAATCACTGTCCCTGATTCAGGCCAAATCCAAATAGAATAGGGCCCATTTCACAGAGGCCTAATGCTTATACTTTTCAAGGATCAGATTTTCCTCATTTCCTACTGTAACTGATCATATCTGCCAGTTTTTTATTCCATTGTAAATTGAACATTCTCATCAAATGGAAACGTCCATGGGGAAACACTTCCCTGTCTTCTTTGTTATTATTACCCTAACTGGTCTTTTACAATATACTGCATAAACAGTAATGACTGAAAACTCTCATAATATTGTTAAGTTCCTATTCTCTACAACCTTCTCTGAGCTAGTTATTGCTGCTGTTGTTGTTATCACTACCATTACTATTAGTGGTTGTGGTGTGGTATTAGAAAAGTCTACTTTCTCATACCCAGAGTAGAGTTTGATATGAAGTAAAGACTTCAGGCACAAGAGAATAGTAAATAATATGAAAAGATAAGATTATTTTAGGAGCAATATTGGGGTTATGCTGCAGACTGCCTTTTAAAAAATGATCCTGAATTGAAAGGAATTAAGGTCTTCTAAAATACAACTGTCACTGAAAGGGGACAAAATCAACAGCTTCAGACTGTTCAAATCAGTTCCATCAGAGTAAGGAGGACTCTGGACTTAAATCCATAAAAACAACAGCATATTTAATGAAGGGCTGAAGCTTTGCAGTATCTTTGATGCTATATGCATTAACAGCTATTAAACAGAAGAGTTGGGGATGCATCTACAACCAATGCTTGGGGGTGCCAGGGACAGTAATGAATAGGTCACTCTAGATCACTCTAGGTATATCCTGTTCATATGCTTTCCATCTAAAGTATCCATTCCTGCCACTGTTGCATACATTGTACTGGGCTAGATGGACCATTGGTCTGACCCAGTACAGAATTTCTTTATGTTCTTATGTTCTTTATCTTAAGATCTGAGTGTAAATTACTACACTGTTTTTGTTCCTGGTGTGTCCACAAGGCCCAAGAGCTGACACCTGTACATAGAGATGATTATTGCCATATCTTTTTGATATCCACATGAGTGGATCTAGGATCTTGAAAAGGGAGATGCAGATAATGTAGTACATCATCCCATATAACACAACACATATTTTCTCCAGTTAAGAAGAAATGAGATGCTTTACTAATATGCTGGGGGCCTAGGGCTATATTATTCCTTTTAAAATCGAAGCAAAAATAAATATAACTTTGTTGGAATGTGCATTAATTTGCTATTAAGTATTAAAAATAATGAACTAGGCAAAAATAATCAAATGATGCTGTTTCATTAGTCCTGTAGTCATTTGAGTTAAAAATACATCACTTTTTAAGATTCATAAAATAAAATCTAGCCTCCCTGAGCATCTTGCCAGTGCACCCAGTGCTTCACTGAAAGTCATTTCCACACCTGAGTTAATATTCACCTCAGTTAACATTTCCATACCTGAATTAATGCTTTTAGCTAGAGCTTAAAACAGTCTGCAACACTGTTAAGTAGGAGATGCTAATATTACCAGGAGCACCTGACAGAGCAGAATTGAAGAAGAAAAGATAGCCTGATTAGTGGAACATCAGGACCACTGAAAAGGAAAGAGGGTTTAGGAGGAATCAGGCAAATTATAATGAACCATGCAGTCAATTATTTCTCTCTGCTGCCTAAATAAAAAATTTCCTGTTGCTGCAAAGCAGTTGGTTTTAAACTCTGAGTGGAGTTCAGAAGTGGGTGCAACTGCAGCACTTCACACTCCTCTGGATCCATCCCTGGACAAATAAAAGTTAAGGAAGTAATTCACTGAAACTTCACCAGTTTCAACAAAGACATCTTTCAGAAAAAGCATTTAAAGTCAACTATAGCTTCTGTACGTAGATTAATTTCTAGATCAGAGAGAGAGAGACATCCACTAGTCCAAAACAGCTCAACTGAAGGAGGTTCCACATTGCAATCTTGAACTTGTTCAGGTGATCAGTAGGTTCAGCGCAGTTAGAAGTATCCAGGATGAATGAAGAAACATCTCTAAATTTCTTCATGTCAGACCATAAATATGAGAATATATCTGCTTTCCACACTCAGAGAAGAAAAGCTCTAATTTCTTGTTAATTTAAGGCAATGTGGATGGTGGCCAGGTTCCCCTGGATCTTGAAAAATCATTTGAGAAATCATTTGAGATCATCTGATTTTACCCAGTTGTTCAGCCAGTGTTTGATAAGTCAGCAGCTGAGTCATGTTGAGTTTGCCTTTAATATATGTTGCATCCAATGAAGAACGTAAAGGGAACTGGATCGTGTCACAACCCAATGATTTTGGTGCCTCGGCACGATGGAATTTTCCCGCCCCATGAGAGCCTCTTGCAAAGTAAAAGGTTTCTGTTGCAGCAGAAAACCCCGGTGCAAGAGAGTTCCCGCCATTTGAATGCAAATTT